AGAAGGGATAAGCTGTAAAATAAACTGCAGCACAGCTGTTGGGCTATTGGAGGCTTAATAAGGACATTTCTAAAGGATGGACCAGTGTCGTGTTTGAACTTGGTTTAGTATCTTCATTAATGACCTTGGTGTGGGTGGGTACTGTGCTGGTAGAGCTGATTAATGCAGTTAGGAGATGTGGTGAACATGAAAAAATGTTGAGTGATTGATGCATGTTAATAATAGAACTGCTGTTCTCTCATTTTAGTTGGAAGTGATAAAGAAGTAAAAGTAGAGGCTAGTACTTAATCGCAGGTTTATTGTGAGTGTGAAATAGGGCAAATATGAGACTAGTTTTAGTGAGGAAAGTATTATTGCCAAGGTTTATGGCATTGATGAAGCTTTATCTGAATGCATCCCTGGCAACACCTAGTCAGAGAAAATGAACACAAATGGGAATGGTGAAAAAAAAAAAAAAATTATTAGCATAAGTGAAGTAGAATAGCTTGCCTTGTTTATCTTGGCAAAATGAAGACTGAAAGGGGATCTGATTGCTATCTATAAATATATTGGAAGAGATAAGCACTGGGGAAAAGAAGAGCTATGTAGGCTAAAGGGTAGGATTGGTACAAAAATGAATTAGCATCAAGTGGCTATGAATATATTCAGATTGTTAGAAACCAGTTGAATTTCAGATCTGAATTATGTCAGTTTGAACCAACCTTCTAAAAATCATGTGGGCAAAAATAGTTTTAAATTCACCAGATACCATCTTAAATGTTTTGCTTCATGTGGACTTTACAGGGCTTCCCCGAGATCACGAGGTTACAATGTTCTTGAAAGTCTGGTAGGACAATGGTGATACCTAATTATGTACTTAAGCTAGAAGCTGGTATATCATGTTACATTCCAAGACATTAGAATAGCTTGACTGAGAAGTGTTTAATGTTTTTTTTCTTTGTAAGAAGGGATGTTCATAAATTTAAAAATCATGCACATAGAAGTAAATGTTCCATAGGTGAACTTAGTAGATATAATTCATAGGAGTATGTTGTTGATTTAACATGTTTAACATGTTAACAGTATGATGATAATATGGCCACTAAATCTAGTAGACCCAATGAAAGTAGAAGCTGTTTGGTTTTTAATTTGGGTATCTACTAGACATGTTCCATGTTGCAGCTCAAGTTGGGACTCTAGCTGCTTCTACAGCGGTGAGCTGAATGGTCACAGAATCAGAATCACAGAATTGTCTAGGTTGGAAAAGACCTTGAAGATCATCCAGTCCAACCATTAACCTAACATTAAAAGTTCCCAACTACACCATATCCCACAGCGCTCTATCAACTCTACTCTTAAACACCTCCAGGGGTGGGGACTCCACTACCTCCCTGGGCAGCCCATTCCAACACCTAACAACCAATTCTATAAAGAAATGTTTCCTAATATCTAGTCTAAACCTTCCCTGGCGCAATTTGAGGCCATTCCCTCTTGTCCTGTCGCTTATTACTTGGTTAGAGACTCATCCCTGGTTCTCTGCAACCTCCTTTCAAGTAGCTGTAGAGGGCGATGAGGTCTCCCCTCAGCCTCCTCTTCTCCAGACTAAACACCCCCAGTTCCCTCAGCCGCTCCTCGTACAACCTGTGCTCCAGACCCTGCACCAGCTTCGTTGCCCTTCTCTGGACATGCTCGAGTCGTTCAATGTCTTTTTTGTAGTGAGAGGCCTGGGGAGTGTGGCTGCATTAGCTCAGCCTAGTACCGTGTAGTGAGGGAATGGAGTTTGTGTTCCTGTCTGAGTGACAAGACTGTGATGGAATGCAGCTTTTATTTAAAGCAGGTGTTTGTTTTCCTGAGTGACTGTAGGATATGCTGTACTTGAATTTCGGAGATTTGGTAGATGGAGACCTGTAGTCTGTGCTTCTGGAGGATGAAAGGTCACCCTGAAACTGAAGTGAGCTGTTTGTGTCTTTGGGAGATATTCCAGTATTAGCTAGATCTGACTATAGGAAATTTTCATGTCTGATATATAAGCCTATTTAGACTGGGCTCTGTGTTATGTGCTGAAGTTGGACACTGTCTATCAGTCAAATACCTGAAACTGGGTTTTTTTGAAAGAACTTTCTGGGCTTTTGCCCACACTGGGAGAAGTGTGAAATTGATTTATTTTTAAAGTTACTTTGTTAACACTGGTGGGATACTACTTTCAAGAAAACTGGTGAAAACTACAAAAGCTCTGGTGTTCTTTTTAATGTTTTAGTCTGTCCTCTGATATCTGGTTCTTGGAGCACACTGGGAAAAGTGCTAGGTAACAGCTTTTGGTCAGGTCTTCTGTGGAAAGACTGATTTTTCTGTGCCACTGCAGCTGTCATCTGAGATGATTAAAATATTTTGATTACTGCTATAGAGTTTGAAGAGTATCTTATATGTTGCAATTCAGATCAGAAAGGTGTATCCGGTTGGAAATTTTGTACTTGAGGATGCATACATATTTTGAACTGCTGAATTTTTGAACATTTTAAACAGCAAATCTGGTCTTTTCAGCATCACTGAAGCCTTTTGTAAACTATAGCAGGTTAAAATACAAAGCAAGTTTAAAGGGAAAAAGAAAGGGAAAAGTTACTTATTTATTTAGTTTTGTTGTTCAAATCTGCTAGTATTTTTTTAAATTTAAGAGCCTTTTTAAGTATCAAATTGATTAGGTATCCTACCTTATGCAAGTAAAGAGAAGAGTTGCTCCAGCAGGAAGGGTTTGTTAACACAGCCCTTACTGAACTAAATTGTTAATACTGCTTCTGTACTGAAAGATTGCTTTTACATATTACTTGGTTGTTTTAGGATTTTGGGGATAATTTGCTGGTTTAAATGTTCATGTTTAGCAGTAGTAAAATGTTTCTACTGCTTTTGTTATTTCTGTAGTGAGAGTGCTTTGGGATGCATAATACTATTTCATTAGATTGTTAAGATTATCCTGGTAGAATTAGGAGCCACCAAATTTAGTATGCTCTTGATGTGTATTTGGCTAGAATAACAGTGTATCCCAATAAAGCTAGATTGCAAGTAATTCATAATAACGTGGACATTAAGTTTGAGTTACAAAGATGCCTTTGAGGTTAGTAACATGGCAGTTCCTTAGTAATGGCACTCTTTTGATAGGAAAAATATCCAGAGTAGACATATGACTGAACTGGACACTGACTGCTATGTTTTAAAGCTTAAACTAAATACAAGCATTAATATATTTGGATAAAGTTATTCCATGTTATACCATCTTACTAATACTGGGTTTTGTTGTTGAGGCTAAACAAAACATTGTCATATTTAACATTAAACACAGGACAATCTCCTTTTAGCCTGTATTTTATCTAATATATAAAGTAGGTATTGTTCTCTTTACCAGAATTCATGGTAATCATCTGTGGCTGTACTTTACCATTGAGATAGATGTTTATTGCATTTTTACTATTTTTTGGAAACTAGTAACATGTTGGTAACAAGCTGGAGTGAATATAAAATTTTGATCCAGAAAGAAAATGTAAGAAAACAAATTGTTTTGTCTGCTTTGAAGTGCCACTCCATTGTATTCCTGTCTTTTGTGCATCAGACTGGCAAGCAAAAGGTTACAATTCCTGTTTCACATAAAAAGGAAGCCTAAAGAGGATAGAAGCAAGGGCGGGTAGCCTGAGAGGGATACAGGAAAATTCTCCAAGAAGCCAGGGATCGGGTTAGGAAAGCTAAAGACCTGATAGAATTAAATCTGGATGGGGATATCAAGGGCAACAAGAAAAGCTTCTGTAGGTGCATTTTGGTGATAAAAGAAAGACTGGGGAAAATGTGAGCCATTTGGTGGATAAGGAATTGGCTGGATGGTTGCACTCAAAAAGTTGTGGTTAATGACTCGATGTCCAAATGGAGAGCAGTGACGAGTAACATTCCTTAGGGGTTGCTGTTGGGACCAGGTATTGTTTAACATTTTTGTTGATAACATGGACAGTGGGACTGAGTGCCCCCTCAGCAAGTTTGCTGACGACATCAAGCTGTGTGGTGTGGTCAGCAAGCTGGAGGGAAGGGATGGCATCCAGAGGGACCTGGACAGGCTTGAGAGGTGGGCCTGTGCAAACCTCATGGAGTTCAACGTGGCCAAGTGCAAGGTCCTGCATGTGGGTCAGGGCAATCCCAAACACAGATACAGGCTGGGTGATGAATGTATTGAGGGGAGCTCTGCAGAGAAGGACTTGGGGGTATTGGTTGACAAGAAAGTCAACATGACCCAGCAGTGTGCGTTTACAGCCCAGAGGGCCAATCATATCTTGGGCTGCATCAAAAGAAGCATGACCAGCAGGTTGAGGGAGGTGATTCTCCCCCTCCATTCTGCTCTTGTGAGACCCCACCTGGAGTGGTGTGTCCAGCTCTGGGGCCCCCAACATAAGAAGGACATGGACCTGCTTGAGCAGGTCCAGAGGAGAGCCATGAAGATGATCAGGGGGTTGGAGCACCTCCCCTATCGTCATACAGGCTGAGAGAGTTGGGGTTCAGCCTGGAGAAGAGTCAGGAGAGACCTTATAGTGGCCTTCTAGTATTTAAAGGGGGCCAACAGGGAAGATGGGGAGGGACACTTTATCAGGGAGTGTAGGGATAGGACAAGGAATAATTGCTTTAAACTGCAAGACATTCGATTTAGATTAGAGATAAGGAAGAAATTCTTTCCTGTGAGAGTGGTGAGGCACTGGAACAGGTTGCTCAGAGAAGCTGTGGCTGCCCCCTCCCTGGCAGTGTTCAAGGCCAGGTTGGACGGGGCTTTGAGCAGCCTGGTCTAGTGAAAGGTGTCCCTGCCCATGGCAGGGGGTTGGAACTAGATGGTCTTTAAGGTCCCTTCCAACCCAAACCATTCTATGATTCTTGTACCACCCCCCAGTAAAGCATGCATGCCAGCATCTACACAGTCACCTCTCTTGAGATATGTAGCCATATATAGGCTCTGCTTGGCCTGTTGACAGAGGAAGATAAACTCTTAGGATTAAAAAATGGGCATTGTTTCAGTATTTTTTGGAAGAGAAGGAAAAATCTTTGACAGATACATCATCAGCATGGATGCAGACAGCATGTCATTGTGGGGTGCTCAGATAAAACATGATGTTACCCTTGGTAAACATTGCTAGCTAGAATCAGCCTTCAGGAGCTGTGGACATTGAGGTGTGTCACCTTTCTTGTAAAGCCTTTTTTGCATTCTGACATTTACGTGCAGGTTGATGATAAAACTAATAACTGTAGGGTAGAATAAGAAGTGATATATTCTGTATTATTGCTCTAATATATGGATATCTAGCCGAGGGCCATGTTTTTTTTTGTAGGTATTATTAATTTTGTATCTTCATCCACTGTTTTACTTTAGGAAGCATTTCTTTCCAGAACAGGTTGTTAGGCATTGGAATGTGCTGCCCAGGGAAGTGGTGTAGTGCTCATCCCTGGAGGTGTTTAAGAGTTTGGTTGACATAGCGTTGAGGGATATGGTATGTTTGGGAACTGTCATTTTGAGGTTAATGGTTGGACTGAATGATCTTCAAGGTCTTTTCCAACCTTGATGATTCTGTGATTATCCCTGATCATTGAGACTTATAATGTTGATGTATTAATCCATGAAACCTAAGCTGTTATGCTTCACAGACTGAATAATTTTAACAGAAGTGATTTGTTAAGAGTTGGAATTTTTATTCCAGTTGAAGAAGGTATTTAAATGATCATGGGTTTGATGTTTTGAGAAGAAGGAATTATGTTCATTGGTAATGCATGTTATGGATTCTCTTCAGATTGTTTTCACAGAGGTCTGATTATTAATTTCTTAAAACTTATTATGGAAATAAACAACATTCCTCTCACTTTCTTTTGTGTCAGCAGTGTCACCTATGATTTTTTCAGAAAACACTGTAAAATTCTATTTGGAGCAATTAAGTGCTTTGCGTATATTTTAAGATCAGTTTTCTTATCTGAGAGTCAAGGTAGTTTTGACTTGCTGCAGAACACTGGTCTTTCATTTTTAGACATCCTTCCTTCAGTGCTGGGAGATAGCAGGTCAGGGAATACTTAAGTAAAATCGATATACCTAAGTCCATGGGCCCTAATGGAATGTACTCACAAGTGCAGAGGGTGCTAGCAGATGGAGAAACAGTCTGACAGAAACCTTGTGAGGTTCAACAAGTGCAAAGTCCTGCACCTGGGGTGCAGCAACCCCCCCAGGCACCACTACAGGCTGGGCTCTTGAGCAGCTTGACAGAAAAGGCCCTGGGGGTCCTGGTAGGCACCAGGTTGGCTGTGAACCATCAAGGTGCCCTTGCTGCAACAGCCAGTGGTATCCAAGGCTGCATTAGGTGTGTTGCCAACAGGTCAGGGGAGGTGATCCTTCCCCTCTGCTCAGCACTGGTGAGGCCACAGCTGGAGTGCTGGGTCCTGCTCTGGGCTCCCCAGTATGAGAGACAGGGACATACTAGAAAGAGTCCAGTGAAGTGCCACAAAACTGATGAAGGAACTGGAGCACTTCTCCTATAAGGAGAGCCTGAGAGAGCTGGGACTGTTTAGCCTGGAGAAGACTCAGGGGAATCTCATCATCATATGTACCTGAAGGGAGGGTGCAAAGAGGACAGGGCCAGGCTCTTTTCAGTAGTGCCCAATGACAGGACCAGAGACAATGAGCACAACCTGAAACACAGGGACGTCCCTTCTGAACCTCAGGAAATGCTTTTTTTTTTTTTGTTTACTGTAAGGATGACTGGGTGCTGGCAGAGGTTGCCCAGAGAAGCTGTGGACTCTGTCCTTGGAGATATTCATAAGTTGTCTAGACATGGTCCTGGGCAACTGGCTCTGTGTGTTTCTGCTTGAGCAGGGGGTTTGGCCCAAATGACCTCTGGAGGTCCCTTCCAACCTCAACAATTCTGTGACTGCTGTGTCAAATGATGGGAAAGAAAAAACACTTACCTTTAGGCTTAATTAAAAAAATTTTATTACATCATACAAATGGAGATTACATGGGGCTATGTTAATTTGCCTTTATTCCATTGTTACTTCTAATTCTAGCAGAATGAGTTGATAGAGATCTTATTCCTCTGTTCCTGTCAGGTCTATTGTAAAAGTCAGCTAACTTGTTCTCAAAATTTGTCTTGATGGCTTTATATTATTACTGCTAGTTTTTATCCTGCTGATTTTAACTCCCTTCATCTTTCATTAGGTCTCGAATTGGCAAATGCAGTAAATGATTTTTCTTTGCTTGCCCAGCCTGACTTTAAGGTGCACTGAAAGAAAAATACCCTGCCTGAGATTGTTAAAGATGCCTTGAAGTGCTCTGTATGTTTCAAGTGCTTTTGGAATTTCAGAGGTGATGAAGCAGTTGTGAAAAAGCATCCCCCTTAAAGCATATAATCCCAATAGTTTTTGAAGTTAGCACTGTAATTTATACATCTTAAGGAGTTTGGATTCCTTTTGCCATTCTGTGTACTTTTTTTATGTGTACTTACATTGGTTTTAGATGTGGTTGAATATCTCACTTTACTGTGCCAGCTTACAGCTTAGATAAACTTTAGTTCTGTGCACGAAATAGAGTGCTTTCTGGCAGAGTCATCTTAGGTATTAGCTTTATAACAGCTACAATTCAGTGTCTTAAATCAAAGGGGACTAACACTTAAACTTTTTCATCTGAAATGCTGCTGAATTTGTTTAATAATGCATGCTCATTTTTGTACAACTCTACAACTTAGCTGCCTGCTAATTATCAAAGATTTTATGTTATTTTATAAAATTATAATTTATTATCCAATTTTGGGTAGAGGTGATATTCTGTGGCAGGCTCTGTGTGTACGTTATGGCAGCCTTAGTAATTCTGAATGGAGCTTCTTGATAACCAAACCCGTCTGCTTCTCAGAAGTTCTTTGTTTGCTCGATACCAACAGTGATCTCAACTTTCCCAGGATACTACAGGCTGAGGCTTGTTTAAGCTCTTCCTTCTCACCTTAGAAAGACATAATCAAGTCATAATTTTTTCTCTTACGTTTGACCATCCCAGGTGGTAGAAAGTTGACTTTTGGAGCCAAGGAACTGAAGGAGACCTGAATTTGAAGAGAAAATTACACTGTTGATCAAAAAGATCTCTGTGCAGGTCCTACCTGTCCAGTAATACATACTATTTTGTTTTTACTGCAGTGTAACTGGCAAGTCTGAGGCAAACCAGGAAACTTGGCACTGTGTTTCAGCAGTAGAAACTGTCTCTGCAGAATCTGTGTCATTTTCTCCTGCCCACTAGTTGCTGTAGTCTGAGATGCATAGTTGCCAGAGGCAATCCCAGCATTAGTGTTGCAGTGGCTGCACTGTAAGATTGCCGAAATAGAAATTCAGTACATAATGGTTTTGGAGATCTCTAGTATCTCTGAATATGATTAGGCAGGTGTTTGTCATTCCTTTCTAATACCTTTGTAAGTCAAAAACCCAGGAAAGATCTCTGCATCGATTGTCACTGCTCCATTCAAAACAGTTGAAATAACCTTGCACTATCACAACTTTTATTCTAGGAAGATGCTGTAATTGGTGTCTTGAACTTACACTTCTAAGTGGGTTGCTGAACTCCCTGTCCGTTTTAAAGTAGCTTTGACTCCCAGAGATTGTTAGATTGAAATTACAGGTTTATAAAGCAATGATCTTCTGTCATTAGACGACATAGTTACATCAATATAGCTTGAGGATTTTATTAAATTACCACAGCTTCTGAAAACCCTAGTTGCAGATCCAGAAGTCTTGAAGTTGTGCAAATACGAGATAGTCTTAAGCAGTTTACGGTGGAAGTATTTGGCAAACAAAAGTAGATGAGTACTCAGGAGGTATTTTGTGTGGTGGGTACAGTTAGACATGAGCCTGTCTGAGGTTTTAAGTGCTCAAGTTAAAAACCATCTTTGTCCTGATTGCCATGCAAGCAGCGAGATGTTATTTTTGAGAGTATAAGGCTGTCCTAGTGTAGCTGTGTTTTCTGAGATGAAGTTGGCATCCATTTGTCTATCTTGATGCATGTGCAAAATGACTGTATCCATCTTTGTTCTTTTCCTTGTTTAGATGTGGCCTGTGTGGCGTGGCCTAAAACGTTTCTCCTTCCTGGTTGTCCCTTTCCCCCCCCACTTCTCTTGTATTTTGCAAGGAACTGTCATGATTTAGGGTTTTGCACTCAGGCTGTTAGTACCAGCTTGTACTTTTTTTTTCTGCACTCCCCCGAGGGTAGTGGTATTTATGTTTCTGTGAGTGGGAACTCCAGAATCCTCTTCTGCTGTTGCATGGTTTCTTTTTTGAAGGATATGTCATGCTACTTTAGATCGTGCAGCTCCTCTGAATGGTAATAGATACATTTTTCTGATTTACTATCTTTGTGTCTGCTCCTTCCTGTCCATACTCAGATCAATGCTGTCTGTCAGTGCTGACTACCAAAATAGCTGGGTTCTGCAGAAACAGTGAAATTCAGTCATCTTTTCCTTTTGTGCACCAGTTTGTTACCCACTACGTATTAAATCTCATGGTTGCGAGTCTTGAGAGTCTTTATACCTCTTTTTTTTATTTAAAGCTTTTAGAAAGCAAGTGACAGAAGGGTGCTCTAGACCTTAAAAAAGATTTCAGTCCACTCTGAAAGAAACATCTGACACTAAAAAATGTCCCTGAGCTAAAAGCTCTTTTTTGGGAAGTATTCAGGAAATGCAAAGGAGGTCACTGCATTCATGCACCTGGGGAAAAAAAGCAGATTTTGAAAAAAAATTATCTGTGGTGTTAGAAATGACAGCAAATATCAGAATAGTCTGAAGAGTATTTTGAATTCTATCGTTATTATGCAGTTTGAGAAGACAGGCATGAGGGAACTTTTCATGTCTCAAAAGAAACAGAACACCTTTTTTTTTTAAAAAAAAAAAGTTTAAAAACCAGTTTATCATCAGTTTATAAATTCACTGCTTCTTTGCCTTGAAGTAAGCTATTTTTACATAGCATAGCTCCTTTTCTTGATGACTGTGCCTTTCAAAATGAGCCTCTGAACTGAGCTTTTTTTCCATTGAGCAAAGATTCCTTAGTAATAGTAGTTGAAAAGATTGAGAAGCAGAGCTCCTCAGGTTTTCTAGAGTTGCAGTTAAAAAGAAAACAACACACAGCTTTGAAAGCCAGATTCAAGGTGCTTGTATACCACTGGGTACTGCAGTAAGAAGATGCCTAGGTGGCAAGAAAATGCCTAGGTGGTTATTACTAAAGCTCTCAGAATAACTTCCTTAAAAATGTTTGTATAGTTCGAAAAAATAAATATTTGGTCTTTTCTGAGTGTATCACCAGTCTGAGATTTAGAGGATTATTCAGCTGCCTGATTTTAGTTCTGCTTGTGGTATGGTATGGGTGATGGGAGTTATTTTTGGATCATGCTCTATAAGTAAGTGCAACTGGATCCTGCAAAAGGCATCAAGAGGCAAGTGGCAGGAAACTTTGAAGTAGTTTTGTAAATCTTCCTCTTGGGGGCTGTGTCACATTTGCTTAGAGAGGAGTGACTATTTTATCCACTGTATGAACCAGATTAGAAGTGAAGCTTCAGACAAGTAACAGTTCCTGTTCTCTCTAAAGAGTCTCATTGAATGTAAACCTAGCTCAAATGCGTCTTCATCTACATCTCAGTAATTCCTGTTTTAGTCCTTTATTGATTTGTATCTTGGTGTTTTGTGTCAAGGCTCTGTTTAGCACACTCTTAAAATCAAGGATTTGGAATGAGAGTTACAGAAGTAAAGACATTGGTCAGATAGTGAGCCCTCTAGTGTAGTAACATGTTTGATAGTGGACAGTACCATTTCCTTTAGAGAGTCTGACACCTCTGTGGAATAAAGTGTTCAGAAAATAATTGATTTCCTTTGTCTCATGTAATTAGTGGTTTTGTTGTACCTTGCCACTTATTCATATCACATATATTTTTCATCCAATTTAATCTAAAGTTAGCTCGCTTTCTTTCTTTGTGTTTGGGTTTTTTTTTGTTGTTTTTTTGTTGTTGTTGTTTGGTTTGGTTTTTTTTTAAATGGAAGATTGGCTGTTATGTTTTCAATACTGGTGAAAATTATTCTGTAGTAATTTAATGTGTATTTTTTTAAAGAACAGAAGGTTCTTAAGTTAATGTACACATGAAATATTATTGATTAAATTTCATGTTCACGTGAAGTTCTTTTTTTCTAAGTTACATTCTTCTAGTGCCTGTGCAGTCTTGCTTTCAGATGACACAAGTGTAAGGGAGATTAACACAGCTGAAAACACTATGAACCTTACTTGCTTTTTGTGCTGTTACTGTATGGCATCACATAGATGATCTCTCTTGGAAGATGTGCTTTTGCAGCTTGACATTGAAATTATGCCTTTTGTCCAATCCAGTCCTAGAGGCAATTCCTATCCTGATGGTTTAACATAAACACAATTTAGAGAATACACTGCATTGAATATGTAAATACGACAACTACAACTTATTTTCTATGGATCAGTTAGAGTATATGCATAAACAGAGTATCATCTCCCTTGTCCATTTTAAAAGATGAGGTGGTTGTCTGTTACTGTCAAGACTGGGAGCTCAGAAATGCCACAAAAGTTAAAATCTCAAGAACGGTAGTATGTTTCAATATCACAGCCTTTTCTTTAAACAGTTGAAAGACTTCCAAAGTACATGTTGCCTCTACTCCTAAATTAAAATTGAGCAAAATTGACTTTTGCATATGACCATTACCTTCTAGATATTTAAACTGTTAAAAATTATTTGGTAAGATTAGCATATGTTTGTATGAACTTCTTGGGCTAGCAGCTTGAGTCTGTAATACTATTTAAGAGTTATTTATTCATTGCTGTAATGTATATTATTAGAACTAAGGTGCTAGAGTGTGCTTTGCATGTAACAGTATATGTGCTTGACAGATGTAAGGTTTAACTTGGGTTTAGAAGTTTGTTGCCATCAAGTTAGATTTTAAGAGTAATTTGTACTGTATAAACAGATTTCTTTCCCACAGATACATGCATATTTAAAAAAACAACCTTTTTTTCAGGTCCCTTTACAGATGTAGTAACTACCAATCTTAAACTACGAAATCCATCAGATAGAAAAGTATGCTTCAAAGTGAAGACCACAGCACCTCGTCGGTACTGTGTGAGGCCGAACAGTGGAATTATTGATCCAGGATCATCTGTTATTGTTTCAGGTAAAAACAGATATGTGCAGTTGTGCTTTAGACCTTTTTAGGCCTTTCACAAAGTTCCCTTAGAGACTGTTTGAAGTTTGTCAGCTTTTTAAAAAATAAAACTGTTCTTCATTAGGGTAATGTCAGTTTGATGTAGAGCTGCAATGATCTGTGACAAATCTTTCATACAGAAATATTTGCTGTTTGTCACATTTATCGGCAGCTCTCTAAAAAAGTGGAAAAGAAAGTTGGAAATGGGCAGTGATATTAACAGTACCCTTTGCCTTCAGACTACTATATTCATGCTTTATATTTTGAAGTAGGGCATTGTTTGACTGCTCTGATGTGTTTAAAGTTTAACATTTGACTGTTTGTTGCATTTAAAATTAAAATTCATTCACAGTTGTAGACCAGTTGTTTTGACCATAGTATTTGTTGCTGGACTCTATTGTTTCATAATTCTTCCATTTATCACAGTAGTATATGTTAAGTGGTAATCATTAAATTGCTTTAAAAACCCTGTATTTTCTGTCTTTTTAGGTAGGTGGAGCAGTGTATAGCCCTTAAATTTGGAAGAAAATCTTGTGTGTTCCACTGTAGAGAGAGTAATCTGTAATTTGTAAGGAGAGATTTTCTCCTTATTGTGTTTTTGGTTTTTGGGTAAGGGGAATAAAAAACCAATCCTTACTTTTGAGCATAGTGTGAGCCCTGAAGCCAGACAAATTTTTTTTTTTTTTTTTTTTTTTCATGAAACTCCATGCAGGTTTGGCTTATGTACTTCATTCTGACAATCCACAGTGTTTTAATAGCTGGATGTATAATGGCCCAATCCTATACCGGACTGTACAGTGTTAAAAAGACCAGGTGTTAGTAATTGTGGGAGTAGACATTCTCAGGAAAATGGGAAATGACTAGATATCAGTCTTCTGATTTGGTAAATGATCTTTGTAGGTTATTCTCCCAATTGATTTGAGGTAGGAATCTCCAAAATAAAGGGGATTCTTAAACCAGTGACTGTAAGAGGTGAGAAACTCTTTTATTTCTCTCTACCTACTGTATTTCCCAGTTTGGAGAGAGGGGAATCCTCTTTTTATATGCTGTGGTTTTATAGGTTATAGAGATTACAGGCAGTACAGCTGTGAGCTCCAGGATCTCCCAAGTCTGGAAAGCTGATTTTATAGAACCTTTTGAGAGCTGCAGCAAAGCAAAATGCAAACATGGGGCAATCCTCAAAGCTTTTCAGATTCATATCTTTACACCCTTTGGGAAATTTAAAAGAAGCTTCTGGTGATATGTTCAAATGTTGCAAGGAGTAACTCAGGAAAACTTTACGATTGATTAAAAATGTAGTGTAACTTTCCTTGTAGGAGACACATCAGTTTTCTAACCTAATATGATCTGTAGAATATGACAGAGGGGATGTCGCCCTCTGTCCGTGACCCGCTGGAGTGCATGGATGAGGAGTCAACTGAGAGCTCATGAGTCAGGATTAAAGGACAGGAGATACTATAGTGGGGGTCTGCTACAGGCCACCTGACCCGGCAGACCAGACCCTTTATAGACAGACAGGAGTAGCTTCATGTTGGTAAGCCCTGGTCCTCATGGGGGATTTCAGCCACCCTGATATCTGTTGGAGAGACAACACAGCAGAAGATAAACAATCCAGGAGTTTCCTGGAATGCATTGATGGTAACTTTGTTCTCCAAGTGACAGAGGAGCCAATGAGGAGAGTTGCTATGCTAGACCCTTTTCTCACCAACAAGGAGGAGTTGGTGGGGAGTGTGAAGCTCAAGGGCAGCCTTGGCTGCATTGACCATGAAATAATGGAGTTCAAGATCCTGAGGGCAGTGAGGAGGATGCAGTGCAAACTCCCTACCCTGGACTTCAGGAGAGCAGACTGTGGCCTCTTCAGGGATCTGGTTGGCAGAGTAGCATGGGATAAAGCCCTGGAGTGAAGAGGGGCCCAAGAAAGCTGATTTTAATATTCAAGTATCACCCCCTCCAAGCTCAGGAACAATGAATCCTGACAAAGAGGTAGTCATGTAAGACCACCAGGAGGCCTGCATGGATGAACAAAGGAGCTCCTGGACAAGCTCAGACACAAAAAGGAAGCCTACAGAGGGTGGAAGCAAGGACACTAGTCAGGGATCGGATTATGAAGGCCAAAGCCCTGAAAGAATTAAATCTGGCCAGGGATATCAAGGGCAACAAGAAAAGCTTCTATATGTACATTGATGGTAAAAGCAAGACTAGGAACAATGTGAGCCACCTTCGGAAGGAAATAAGAGAGCTGGTTACATGGAATACGGAGAAAGCTGAGGTGCTTAGTGATCTTTTTGACTCAGTCTTCATGGACAGTGCTCCAACCACACTGCCCAAGTTGTGGAAGGCAAAGGTGGGGATTGAGAGCATGAAGAACCACACACTGTAGAAGATCAGGTTCAGGACCATCTAAGCAACCTGAAGGTGCACAAGTCTGTGGGACCTGGTGAGATGCACCTGTGGTTCGTGAGGGAACTGGTGGATGAAGTAGCTAAGCCACTACCCATCATATTTGAGAAGTTGTGGCAGTTGGGTGAAGTTCCCACTGACTGGAAAAGGGGAAACATAACCCCCATTTTTAAAAAGGGAAAAATGGAAGACCTGGGGAACTATAGGCCAGTCAGACTTAACCTCTGTGCCTGGTGAGATCATGGAGTGGATCCTCCTGGAAACTGTGCTAGGATATGTGGAAGACAAGAAGTTGATTTGTGACAGCTAACGTGGCTTCACTAAGGGTAAATTGTGCCTGACAAATTTTGTGCCTTTCTATGGTGGGGTTACAGCATTGGTGGAGAAGGGAAGAGCAACTGATGTCATCTACCTGGAGTTGTGCAAAGTTTTTGACACTGTCCCACATGACATCCTTGCCTCTAAATTTGAGACGTATGGATTGATGGATGCACCATTTGGTGGATAAGGAATTGGCTGGATGGTTGCACTCAAAAAGTTGTGGTTAATGACTCAATGTCCAAGTGGAGACCAGTGATGAGTGACGTTCCTAAAGGGGTCGCTGTTGGGACCAGGTGTTGTTTAACATTTTTGTTGATAACATGGACAGTGGGACTGAGTGCCCCCTCAGCAAGTTTGCTGATGACATCAAGCTGTGTGGTGTGGTCAGCAAGCTGGAGGGAAGGGATGGCATCCAGAGGGACCTGGACAGGCTTGAGAGGTGGGCCTGTGCAAACCTCATGGAGTTCAACGTGGCCAAGTGCAAGGTCCTGCATGTGGGTCAGGGCAATCCCAAACACAAATACAGGCTGGGTGATGAATGGATTGAGGGCAAGCCTGTGGAGAAGGACTTGGGTATTGGAGCATGAAAAACTGAATCTGACCTGGCAGTTTGCACTTGCAGCCCAGAAGGCCAATTGTATCCTGGGCTGCATCAAGAGAAGCGTGACCAGCAGGTTTAGCTCTTGTGAGACCCCACCTGGAGTGGTGTGTCCAGTTCTGGGGCCCCCAACATAAGAAGTACATGGGCCTGCTCGAGTGGGGCCAGAGGAGGCCATGATGATGATCAGGGTGCTGGAGCATCTCTCTTATGAGGACAGGCTGAGAGAGTTGGGGTTGTTCAGCCTGGAGAAGAGAAGGCTCAGGGGAGGTCTTGTAACAGCCTTCCAGTACTTAAAGGGGGCTGACAGGAAAGATGGGGAGGGACTCTTTATCAGGGAGCGTAGGGATAGGATGAGGGTAATGGCTTCAAACTGTAAGAGGTTCGATTTAGATTAGACATAAGGCAGAAGTTATTTCCTGTGAGGGTGGTGAGACACTGGAACAGGTTGCTCAGAGAAGCTGTGGCTGCCCCCTCCCTGGCAGTGTTCAAGGCCAGGTTGGACGGGGCTTTGAGCAGCCTGGTCTAGTGGAAGGTGTCCCTGCCCATGGCAGGGAGTTTGGAACTAGAGCATCTTTAAGGTTCCTTCCCACCCAAACTGTTCTGTGATACTGTTCTGATACTGCACTGTTCTAATACCGTAATAATAGGATAAAATTTTAGTGTTGCTGCTTGCCCTGGACAGTCCAGCATTTTGTGAATGAAAGATGGTTTCGTTGGGAATTGGTTCAAGATTCTAGTAGTCAAGCCTAATGTATTTCCATCTTCAGCTTACAGCCATTTTGTCTTAACGGTGTGTTTGATCTGGTATCAGGGATCTTTCCCATGTATAGTCATGCATCACAGTCAAGATATTGCTGGACTGTCAGGGAATCGAATAGATTGAAGTATGTCACTTGCCTATTGTAAAATGTGGTTTTGTGGTTACAAATCATCCTTTTTAATGCTTTGAATATTTAATTTTTTTAAAATGAGGCAATGTTGGAGCTATAAACAACATTTCAGCCTCAGGTTCACCAATAAAGGGGAAGTGTGTCATACTGCTCAACTCTTCAGTTTGCATAGCAGGGAATCTTTGTTATCCCTTTTTCTGTATTACTGGATTCTCATGCAGTTATTTGACTACAGTGACCCCAAGATGCTTTCATGTGCAGTCAGTTTAGTTATAATGACTCCACAATGCTTTTCAGAATTAAGTTCTCTTCCCCGAAATGTCAGCTTCATCTTTTTGTTTTTAAGCATATAATTTCATTTGGGTCACTTGGTAAGCCAAGTACGCAGATAATTTTTCTGGTGACCCACTTTGTCTCATTAATCCCTCAACGGAATGTTTTTGGTGCTGACTCATCTTTCATATAATTAAAAATAAACTTCTCTCACATTGTTGTGCAGAGAAACACCATAGGATACCATGGGCTGAAACTCCATGTTCAAAGCTAAATGTTGAGATAGTGTTAGCTGTCTTCAGCCTGTATAATGCATTGTGCCGATTCAGAGTCAAGCCAGGTTTTAAATTAATTGTTTATGTGATTTAACAGTCATTTTAAGGAAGTCCATAAGCATTTTGATTATTATTCAAATGTGAATCACAAGGTGACATTCTTCAGCCATGTTAGATAATTTTTTAAAAAAATGCTAATTTGGTAAAACCTGTTATTCTTTACCTTGATGTCCTTTATTAGCTATTGTTATATCATGTATTGCTGCTTGTTAACTTGTTAATGGTGGTTGCTTGTTGATTTGTCTTTTCCTTCTGTCTTTCAGACCCCTTTAAGGTGGTTTTTTTTTTTGGTGTGGTTTTTTTTTGGTGTTTTTTTTGTGTTTGGTTTTTTTTTTGGTGGAGATAAAGCCCTCCTATGTAGAAAACCTAGGCCTGTTAACAGGAGTCTTGCTTTCATAAGTGTTTGTTGCAGGTCCCCTAGGTGTGATCTCTGGACTACTCAAGGATTCCAAGAACATGTTGAAAACTCTGGCTTCATGTATTAATGAGATTTTTCCATGATTACTTAAAAACCATTAGGAGCTTGAAGAACTTCCAATTTGTGGATTGTCTTTTTCTGCTGCTTTTCAATCAGATTTTCAGTTGTTACTGAGTGGTCAAAGAACATAAAGTTTATTTAGTTAATCCAGGGATTCTGTCAGGTGAAGAGGTTCTCTGATGATGGAAAGCTGGCTTTGCAATCTTTCAGGTTACTCCATCTGTTCCGCTGGCTTTAGAAAACTGAAGTACTGTGTGCTATTCAGTAGTCTGTTGGTGGAACAATTCTTAGATATAAATTGCTATAGCATCCTTACCTGAAAGAAGTGTTTAGTTTGATCAGTTATGTTTTGAATCACAGTGAGACCAATGATTAAGGAAACTCGGCTTTTTAAACCTTTCCAAATAGGACTGTTTGAAAGCACGTCAAATACTGCAATTCCGTTATGTGCTTTATCTGTGAAATATATCTGATTCAGACTATTCACTTACCCTTTGATTATGCTGTACGTAACATTTAAGGAAAAAAAAAATAGAACCATCCTGTAGCAAACACATGCAACTTGTAACTAGTGTTTAAGGCCTAAAGTTAGGTGGCAGTGTAATTAAATTTAGAAGTAATTTATTTTCATAGGTGCTAGCGAATTTGGAAAGGCCAAGTTAGTAATTTTGATATTGTACTTTATAAAATAAACTAATGCAGTTCAGTCCTACCGTGTAGAATTTACTCACTGTGTGAAGGGAAGCATGTTGAACTATATTGAAAATTCAGAATTACGGAAAATTGAATTGTTGTAACAGTATTGAAATCTGAGTTGGTTTAGAATATATGGAAAGATTGTTCAGAGCAGAATTGTATTTTTGTAGCTAAATCAGTGTTTCTGCTCTAGCTTTTTCATTACTGTAAAATAGATAAAAATACAGATACCTGTTGATAGGACTCCATAAATGTAATTCTTGGGGGTTTTTTAAATCTGAAACTTCAGCTTCTCTTTAATTTTGTATAATTTTGTTTAATTTTGTACCTGCAAGATACCAACTGGAATTCCCATTCAGTGGAAAACCAGTGTATGTACACTGGCAGATAATTTATCTCTATAGTTCACTCTGAGTCCTTGTCTTCTGGTAGACCAAGTTGCAAGTGTAGCCATATACACATATAAATATAACTTGTGTGGTCCTGTTCTCCCATCTGGAGAATTAGTTGTAAGGCAAATAATTGTCTCTGAGAGAAGACAGTGGGGTGAGCATGATAGTTTCTTTGAGGGTCCACTTCAGACAGACTGTACAGTTGGAGGTAGACTATGCTGGTTGTGTATCTTTGCTTTGGTAGGCCCCCAACACTGCTTTAACAAACCTTGTGTATTCATGTATTTCTGCAAACCTTTATATTATGCCCCTGGATATGGAGCTATCCTGTAAAGGTTCAAATCTCCTGGTTTGTATCACACACATCATGTTATTTCAGTCCCTTTTGAACTAAAGAAACCACACAAAAAATAGTGATGCCAGGGTGACCTGGACAATTGCTATGTGGTGTAAAAACACAGTCTGCTCCTGGATGGCATTGTACAACTTGGATGGATGAAGGTACTGTGCTGCTTTAATTAAATCTTTCATTTGAAGTATTGTAGTGCTGTAGAAATAATGGAGGCTATGAATACTGTTAGTGGTGTAATTTTTTTTTCACTGAGCATGTGCACATTTCAAAATAATAACTTCAGAAACAAGAGTTTCTGATCTTGACCAATAGTTTTCAACTTTGGAAAGCTGGAAGTACAGGAAAAAGGTCATTCAGAAAGTCCAGAATGCTTGTACACTCTACCTCTGGTACTTGTAGAACAAACTATGTTGTGTCAAAAATGTCTGTTTTCATCCAGAAGGTTTTTTATTTAAAAAAAAAAAAAAAAGCATTACAGGATGTTGAAAGCTGAAATTTCAGCATGAAAATACATAAGATAAAATGCAAGGAGTGGGTATTATGAGTTTTACTTTAATGTTTCACTTAAAGCTGCCTTTACAGGGAATTTGATTTTTGAATCCCATCCCACTTTCTTCACTGGTAAAATGTGGTGGAGGCCCAAAACTTGCAGTAGAATTAAAGTGGAGTACTTTGGGACTGGACTTATGTTTAAGAATGTGGTGTAGTTAGTACATAACTAATCACTATAATTTTTTTTTAAAGAGCTCAGTTTGAAAGTGGATGTATTATTAAAGCCCTAGGCAGCTTCACCTTCTATAACAGTAGTTTGAATGAACTATTTTAGTAGTTTTGCTCCCAGCATTAATACACCTTTAGAAGTCAATTGAACTTGCTCCACCGCTTGATGGTCTACTGAGGTAGGTTGTCTGTCTTTTTTTTTTTCTTTCTCCTGAGTAACTATCATCATGAACTTTGCATTCACTTAATCATGAAATGTGTTTATTCCAAAGAAAAGTTCTGTGGTGTGGTTTTTTTTTTCCTCTTTGTCTTACAGGATCTGATTGTTCATAGTTGTGTATAGGAAATGCCTTCTAGCTATAGTAGTTATGGAAAAAATCGTGTCAGCTACACCAGACTGAAAAGCTTTTTCCTTTCAGTACCTGTTGCTATGGTGTACATCTGCTCTACTTTCAACACTGCCTTTGTATTTTAACTTTCAGTATCTGTTCAGTGAGAGGGAAATCTGAAGTGGATAGTGTGCTTGTTACAGTGATTAGCGTAAGAATTGGTTTTATGCTTTATTTTTTCTTTTGCACAGTAATGCTGCAGCCTTTTGACTATGACCCAAATGAGAAGAGTAAACACAAGTTTATGGTACAAACAACCTATGCACCACCAAATATTTCAGATATGGAAGCAGTGGTAAGTAAAAATGGGGTACAGTGACTGTTGGTTTTTTGTTCTTAAAAATTCAGGCTTAAATGTAAATGAATTCTATTTTTTCCAGTTTAATTTTGGAGAAGAATTGGGTTTTCTGTAAACAAGTAATGACTTCCATATGTGATTCAGAGTTTTTAATATTAAATACAAGCTCAGTTCTTAGAACTTGCCTAATGAACTGGTTGAATGGAAAAAGTGTGTCTAAGGTAAAGTCAGTTCAGTGTTAAAATAAAGGCACGTTGTACCTTATATGCAACTAATCTGAAGGGGAATAAACAGGTTGTATTTGAAGGACTCAAGTGTACTTAAACAACAGGCCTGAATCTATATGAAATGGATGCATTTGTTCTGAAAAGTATTTTAAATTATATGTTGAGTGGGATTAAAACTGATTTACAACATTTGGAAAACTAAGGTATGTCTCTCTCCAAGATACCAAATGGCTAAACACAGCACAAATGATAGATTTATTTTCTGTTTTAATAGAACATGTAGATTCAGTTCTTTGACAGGATTGGTCTGATGAAAGATTTAGAAAGAAGATACTTAGGTTTGTGCTTGTTAGTTTAAAAGTAAAGACACCTGTTTCTGACGTTAGAATCTGGCAGCAATTGGAAGGAAGCCTTCAGTTGTCAAAACATGCCCTTTAGGGTGTATGTGGACTGACGTAAGCATATGTATATATTAGGATGGAGGAAATGATACACAGCCTTCTGTCTCTAGAGTCTGTTTTAAGGAATGCCTGAGTTTACACAGGTATGTTCAGTGCTCACTCAAGGCAGAGGAGAGGTGAAACAAAGGATGAGGATGAGGTTTTATACGTCACTGAAATCCACTAGACTGCTGTGAGTTTAGGCTCTGTCCCCTCATGTAAAGGCAAAAACTGTGGTGGCATCACTCTTCACTGGAAACAGTGGAAAATGGTTTTAGATTTTGTTAAGCTTTTGAGACATGTAGCTAGGAAGTTAACGTCTCTTCCTTGCTGGTGAGGTTTACTCTTTCTTAATATGCTCTGATAGCTCTTGGCTATGTGTGGTAAGTGAAGCATAACTGTTTGGTGAGGATATAAAAATCCCCTTTAGAAATACCTTTCAAATCTGTCTTAGTGTATTCAAGTATAGAATACTGACAAACAGATCTTGCAAAAAATAAGTAGTTAGAAGTCACTGTACAACTAATGCCACTGAAAAAAGAACAACAACAACAAAAAACCAGAAGGATGTTATAGAAAGCCTGAATATTCTGGTCTGTTCAACCAGCAATTCTGAGGTAACTTCAGAGGACCTGTTGTTGGAAAAATTGCTGCAGTCTTCAGATGAGTCTGTGAGCCTAAGGCAACCACATGAAGTGTATGCTTTGAAAGTTAATTGTCCATTGAGCAGGGAGATTTCAGCATATTTCACAACTATTTAAATATATTGATAACCATTAGAATTTAAAATGTTTTTTGTAAACAGCTTTGAAAAATTCTCTAGGCCCAAATTATAATGTATTATTATGCAGTAAAAGGAGAAAGTGGCTAAAAATTCAAAATATGAAGAATGAAATAAATTTACTCTGGAACTAAATATAGAGTCACTAAAAGATGTCTTTCAGTCTTCTCTTTAAAATTGGTGCTTCCAAGATGGACATTTACCAAGGGCTAGAACTTTGTTCTTCAGCCAACTCAGATGGTACTTGTTCCTCATTGTTAAAAGAACTGCTGTATTATTGCTTCCCTATCACCTGCTAACCTCTGGATCCATCCTTGCATTCAGTTTACTCATTTTCATTTCCAGACTTAATTATTTGTAGCTTTCATTACTTTGCAGTAGTCAAAGAGAACAAAAAAACGCTATTCAAAAGCAAGTCTGAAAATTGCAGCTAGGGTAAGGACAGTATTAGACTGTGTAGGAGGCAAGTACTAAGAGCAAGCTTATGAACTGTTCAGATGTTTGCATGAATCTGGCATGTTAAGTAACTATATTAATTGTTCTCTTAGTGGAAAGAAGCAAAACCTGATGAGTTAATGGATTCCAAATTGAGATGTGTGTTTGAAATGCCCAATGAAAATGATAAACTGGTAAGTAAGAAAAGAGTAAGAAACTGTCCTACACTGACTAGTAGGATCTCACAGAAATTTGTTTTGATTTTTTTTAAACCTATTTGATGTTTTGATTAAATGGATTGTAGGAATTTGTACTAAATTAGACATGAGCTGTGTTCAGCATATAACTTTTCAAGGATTCATAGAATCATGGAACAGTCCAGATTGAAAGGGACCTTTAAATACCATCTGGTCCAACCTTGTGTTGGAAAGGGAGCAGCCTGTCTAACTGCATTTAAAAACCTCAAGCAATGGAGACTAGTGCCAAAAATTATTATCCTTTCATTAATTTTATTATTGATTTGCTTCATCATTTTATTACTGTCAGATTAAAAAGAAAATCTTCGATACTGCATACAGTGAAAAGTACATTGCATCATTTGCTTTTTAAAGTATTAAATGCTTTTCAATTTTAAAGTGGTGTTTCTAATTCAGTTGAATCAGAAAAGGAAGTACTGATTAGAAGTTTAATGCATGCTTTGGGAATCATAAATGCATTTTGTAAGATAGTGGTGAAGAGAGAACCAGACAGAAAAAGTAAATTCCATTACCTCTTTTATGTTCTTGCCTTTAGACAAAACCTGTTCCAATTGTGTAGGAGATGACAGTTTCATTGTATATAGACTGAAGATGTCTGGTTTGTGTTGCCTGATATTTGGAATAATAGTTAATTGCCGGTTACCTAAAAGTTTTGCAGAGTATGACTAAATTCTTACACATTAAATTTTTTTTTAAATTTTCATACTTGAAATTCTGATTTATGGAATCTTAATAGTGTGTATTTTGGGTTGTTTAGGTTTTGTTTTGGGTTGTTTTTTTCTGGTGCTGATTTTAGCATTGTGAATTGGAGCACTAAAGTAGGATTTCTGTAAACAACTTTATTCAGTTTATGGATTTGACTTTTCATTTAGTACTGTCTAATTTTTACAGTAGTCTATAAGGTGTGTTGGGGGAAAGTGGCACGAATCTCTGCATGTAAAAACTCTCTCAGTATTTACATGCGTAAAGGGTCTCTGTGAAGGCTGCTAGCTGACCAGTAGCTGTCTTTGCAACCACTCATTATACAGTTTTTGGAGTGTAAGGTAAAGTTATTTTTCAGATGCTATGTCAGTATGATGGTTTTTGGTGGTTGGTTTGGTGTGTGGTTTTTTTTTTTTAGAGTTCTGTTTGGTTTTTTTAAAGCATATTTTATGAGATGCAGCCTTTTATTCTGGTATAAGCTAAGTGGGTGCTAAATGCTAAAACTGTAAAGGTTAAGCATTTATTAAGTTGTCTACTTTCTGTGCGTTTTACCCTCTTATTAAATTACCTGTTAGATATTAGAAAAATTGTTTTTTAATGTAACATAATGTAGTGAGAGATGTAGTGGATTATACGAAACTACCTCCTTTTGTACTTTAACATGATATCCTCATAGTATTGACTGTACCTATTATTTGTATTCTGAGCAGCAGTGTAAGGTTGCAAACCCCTGCTTTAGCAGTTGGTTGAGTCAGTCCCTTAAACGTGTCAATGAGAAATCTGCCAAGTCCTGAGAGTAAGCTTCACCTGCCACCTCAGGATATACCTACACTAGGACACAAATATTTCACTCCAGTCAGCAGCCCATTCCTTCAGGTGCCTACCAGTCATAGCTGAAGATTGACGTGAAGAAACTAGTCAGTAAGGTCAAACAGTCGAAGTGACGTTTCAGTGCTACTGAATTAATTTAGTTCAGCTAGTAAACCAATTAAAGAAGCAACAGATCCTGGTCTGCTTACTCATGATATAAATATGTTGGTCTTTTAAAATCCAGTTAGGAGTACTTGTGTGGAGTAGCAGGATCTGGCTCTTAGGCTATCTATGGCTACATTGCAAAAAGTGTAAAATTCAGGTAGATGCTATAGATCAAGTAACTGCTGCTTTCATAGCAACTAAAGAAATTATTGAATCTTTTAGTTGCTTTGTTATTACATGTATGTGTTTTACTTTTAAAAGGTTTTCTGTTACATTTAGTACTTACCTTGGACCACTTTGGTTATGAAAGATGCACTATGGTGGTGGTCTAAATGGCATAGCTGTGTAGCTGAGCAAGTAGGAGTACAATCTGAATATGAGCTGTTTCTGAGTGTATTGCCATGTGAATGCTGTGTTTTTACAAATGGTAATCTGGACTGTACAGCTGAATCCACTATATTAGTAATGTCTGTTGAAGATCATTGTATATTTTGAGTGAAGCTGTGGGAACTAGATTTTTAGTTTTATTTTTGGCTTTTCCACAGGTTTTTATGTGGCCTTTCAATTGTATTCAGAATTAGTAATGTGTATTTCAGAGATGCTTTGAGACTTAAATTCTGTTTGTGCAGTACTTTATTCTCCTTCAGTAAGAGGTGGTATAAGCGCAAAATTTTTGTGCCATACGTACTTCATATTAGTTTGTAACATAACCTGTTCTCTACTTTGTTTTGTTTCTTACTATTGCAGGATTACTTTATTCCTTTTATTTTTTTCCCTCAAGTTTAAATACTGTCTGGTATATTTTATACCATGATTTGAATGACTGCTGGGTCAGTGGTAGGTAGTAGCTAAAACACTGATTTTTGTCTTGGTAGCATGTAGTACCAAATATGAACAGTGCATTCTTTTCTTGTTTTTTAATATTTGAGCTAAGCAGAATTGAACTGGTAAGAGAAGTCTTTTTTCACATTTCGGTAAATATAAACTTCATTGAACTATATTAGTAGCCGGACTGTTTCAATTTTAAGCTGTGGATGATTTTTCTCTAGGTAAGTAAAATTCTCAAGTCATTCTTAATGTTTGTAGAATGATATGGATGCAAGCAAACCTGCCCCAGTACTGAACACATCTAAGCAGGATGGACCGATGCCAAAACCACATAGTGTTTCACTTAATGATACTGAAACAAGAAAGCTAGTGGAGGAGTGCAAAAGACTTCAAGCAGAGATTATGAAGTTGACGGATGAAAATCGGCACCTGAGAGTAAGTTCTGCTCTTCTGCATTTATATTGAAGTGGCTTCACTCTTGATTGAAATGTCTCGATTGTAATTAGGTCAATAGATGTGTATTTCAGAAGGTAGATACAACTGTTAGAATGTCAAGATTGATCTGTAATACGATTTTACTCTCCTGTACATACTGTATATTTTGAAATTCTCAGTGATTGAAACTTTGATTGTTGTTGAATGAGATACTGAAGCTACTTAATTTTCTTCTTAAATGGAATGGTCTTATTTAAGGTGGGCTTGGTTACTTTTAAGTCTAAATCACAGATACCTAATTAGTAGCTTTTAACAGGACTGCATTATTATTCATTAAGAATAATGAATGAGATCCAAAACAGTAAAATTCAGTATCACAGATTGTTAGTGAACAAGAACTAGTGTTTAGCCAGAGGAGGTAAGCAAACACTACAGTATTTTTATGTAAAGGTGCCATTTCAGTAACCTGTAACTAGTGAATACATGACTTCAGGTCACTTTTCTATGTATTTGCTTTTGGGTATTTGTCAATTTCATTAGCTGTGGTAGCCCTTTAAAGAACCATGGAATAATGTCTCCACACTTGTAATTCTGATGACATTGGAACATTTTGAGAAACACTCTACACAAAGCAGATGTTTCTCCTTAATAATAAGGAATTACTGCTATTTAGTTCTGACGCATAGTATGCAAAAGCAGGGTTCTTTGTTGCACCTAGCAAGAATTTCAGAATCTTTCTTAACCAGAGCAAGGAGAGAGACAAGATGATTACCTGTACTTGTAATATTATGGTTTGCTATGTTTATGCTTTGGTGTGGTGTAATGTTGTGGGGTTTTTAAAACTTTATTTAAATGTTCACCAGTAAATTTGGCCTTTGACTTCAGTTTTTACAATTGTAAAGAAGATGTGTTCATAAATTTTTTATCTGTGTTTCCCCCCCCCCCCCC